CCAAGGCCAAATGGAATGTAGGTTGGTTGCTCCGGACCGACCTTGACCCCCGCCAGGGCATCGACGTGTTCTTGGAGCTGGCTTCGACGTTGTTGTTCCATGCCGGAGACTTGTAACCAGTTGTCATATTTCATTTTCGCTAAAAATAACCTAATAATTTTTTTCATCACGTCATGGAAGATATATTACTAAATACATATATACGAATACCTTTACCCGCTGTTATCAAACGGAAAATATTCGTCAGCATACCGCCAGCAGCTGGATACACTATTCAGATAAAACTAAAAGAGCACAGAACCAGATTTCTTGGAATTATACTAAGTAAAATGATTAAATTTCCGATCCCATAGAATTCTTCTTCTTCTGTGGGCGATAAGAAAAAAGGCCGTCATTTTGTGGACAACATAGTTAGCTGGAAAATTAACTTCACAAACTAGTTTTTGGATAGCGTGCGGAAATGCACAAAATAATCAATTTTCTTGCATATTTTTTTCTGTGTTTATCTGTTTTTAAGTATGTTTGACGGTTAGTATCAATACAAGTTTTTTAATAATCGCTAGAACAACATGTTAACATGTTATCGTTCAAATGACACCAAATTTATCATTCTGTGACTGTTATGTTCTCAGTTATTACAATTTTCATACACGCACTAGCGTAATCGTAACGTAAAAATAAAAATGTATTTGACGATAAAAATAGCTGAAAAATACCCCCCTTAAATATCGGTATGTCGTGACCAAACACATTATATATAAAAAATTCTTGAGTTATAATAAACATACCTTTTTTGTCACCAAGTATAGTTGTCGCGACCTCTGTAGTTATTGTGTTGTTACTGCGGTCTTTTTTTTTTTCACGGAACAACTCAATTCGGTTTATGTGGCGTTAAAATGCATTCGTGAAGTGTGAACGCACATAAAAGTTAACCGTTTGTTTTATATTCTCGATAATGCAATTCATTTATAGTTGCTAATGTTCGAGTGTTCGGATATTGGTGCGTTTTTCGTGTCACGAGCAGGTCTCATTAGTTGAAGTACCTTTTATGGCCAATTCAGTTTCTCCTATGCTTCTAATTCCCCAGAATCGTAATCGTGAAAGAAAAAGAATCGGCAATGAAATAGTTTTTTGGACGTTACGTGACATATTCCGGCATGGGTATCACGTAAAAAACCTATAAGATGTCATCGTGCAAACTAGGTAGTTTTTAGGGCGCAAACAGTCATTCCACGTTTGCTCACTAGGATCGTTGTGAACGTCCATCTATGGAGGAATCACTCAACTAAATTACACGCATTATTGGTTGCATATGTTGTGTGAGGCCAAATGGTCCTTGTCTGTAGTTTTTATCTCTGAGAAGGAAGTTGGCTGAATAGCAAGATCGCATCTGGATGATTATGTGTATTGGTCTGCATGTGTATAAAATCAGTGACATTTGCTGTGTAAAAAAATCATTACTGAATATGCTGCCAATGAAGTATATTTATTGGCTGTGCCCGACGGGTTATTTTTATGTTGTGCTTTCTGAAGAGAGGTTATGTTCAAAGTTATAAATTACGAAAAACTGAAGAGAATTACGGGAAATCATCACCGCGCCCGCGTTGTGTGTAATTACTGTTAGCATGTATATGGCTTGTAATTCGACAGTGTACAGAAATATAATTATTTCTTAACTCTCTCATTTTTTAAATTCAGCAAATGTGTCTATGTAATTTCCAGAATGTATAAGAAAAAGTAGATGCGCAACTAATTTCTAGCTTTGAATCTCAATTAAGTGTATTTGAGACAAGAACCCAATGTAATTATTATCAACACATACTTACAGCTTACAGTATATTCAGATAAGAGATAGACCGGATGTAAACAAAAGGTTCGGGTGATTTTCACGCTAACGCCGCCGTCTCGACGTAAAACAGGAGCCCTCATTGGTCAATTCGCAATTAAATGCCTATGCCGAGCGGCAGAGCAGTCGTATCAAGGCAGAGTCACATTCAGGTTCAGACGTGTTAGGTATGTCGTGTGCATCATTGCAATTTGATATTTCTTTGGGCGTTTTCGTTTGTTATCTTATTAAGTTGTTGAGTTTGTCGTTGTTATTGTTATACCTTGTTATTGATTGTTATTGTTATCAACTGTTTGCGCAAAATGCCCAGTAGTACAGATACTGCCGATGAAGTTGTAAACTCCTGTAGTCCACCTAGGAAACGCTCTAAAAAAAGACACCTGAGTGCAGAAAGGAAAGAGGTCATTTTGAATATATATAAGATCGAGCGCGAGGAGAACGAGGCATCAACCATCAAAGAAATTGTTGTGAAGGTTTCTCACAAAGTTGGGGTGTGTCGCGCATCAGTGTTTAATGTGTTAAGACAATACAAAAAAATCACACCTTTTCTGAGCCAATGACCAGTAAACATCGCAAAAGTATTGTTAAATCATTGGATGAAGCTGATAAGCATGCGATTAGGAGGAAAGTGCATGAATTCTTCTTTAGGAATGAAATACCTACTATAGATAAAGTACTGCAGGAGGTAAATGGAGATACAACGTTGCCAAATTTCAAACGATCAACTTTCCATGCGTTACTGAAGCATTTAAATTTCAAATGGAAAAAACGGGGTCGTAATAGTTTACTACTGGATAGAGAAGAAATTGTGCTATGGAGGAGGGATTATTTAACAAAAATTGGGAAATATAGAAATCAAAACAGGAAGATTTATTACCTTGATGAAACGTGGGTAAACGCAGGACACACTACAAGTAAAGTATGGGTTGATGGTTCTGTAACTTCATCCAGGAGGGCCTTTCTAGATGGACTGTCCACCGGATTAAAAAATCCAGCAGGTAAATACGAGTAATAGACAACAATCGGATGTTTTTCAAACCTTGGGAACAAGGTTCTAAACATTAATTCCAGGGGGCAGATAAAACATATTAAAAGTAACAAAACTTTTATAACTTTCGATAAAATGCGTGGATGTTTTATTGTCATTTTCATTTGTTAGAACTTTTTTAAGCCATGTTTTTATGTGTTTTCGATATTTCAATAATTTTTTAATATAATCTCAAAATATGTCGAATATTATAAACTTAAAAAAAGTTACTAAGTTTTATATTGTGTACCGTTCCTAATATTTCTAATCATTTTAATTCATACTTTAAGCTTTATAAAGTTATAATTTGTTAATATTAATATTTGCGCGTATTTCAGGTTCCTAATCATTCATTTTTTAAAGGTTTATAACTTTAAATTAAATTGTGAAGCGCTGAGTAATCATACGACGTTCAATATTCTTTCTTTCAATATGACTAAATAATCCCAATTATAGCAATATGATACTCATGTCTCAATGTTTTTTCGCTGAATGTGATGAAAACATTTGAAAAAGGTTCGCTTATTGAAATAAATCTACACCAGTTAGTACTTCGATTTCCAGGTAAAGGGAAAAGGCTCATTATCTGCCATATTGGCAGTGAGGATGGATTTGTTGTTGACGGTCTGTGGTGCTTTGAGTCTAAGAAAACTGGAGATTACCACGAGGAAATGAATGGCGAATCGTTTGAACAGTGGTTTTCAAAAATTTTACCGAACTTAGAGGAAAACGCAGTAATTGTGTTGGATAATGCGCCTTATCATTCTCGAAGAATGGAGAAGGTCCCAACAACGGCTTCAAGGAAAGTTGATGTTCAAAATTGGTTCCGCTCGAAAAATATCAACTTTGAAGAAGCAATGCTGAAAGTACAATTATTAAGAATTGTCAAGTATCACAAGGCGGAATATCAAAAATACGCCATTGACGAAATGGCAGCAAGTCAAAATAAAACTGTGCTCCGTTTACCTCCATACCATTGCGAGCTCAATCCTATAGAGCTCATATGGGCAGAGGTTAAAAATTATATAGCTAAGCACAATACAACTTTTAAATTTTGTGACCTCAAAGGACTTTTCAAAGAAGCACTAGAATTAATAACAGCGCAAAAATGGGAAAACTGTATTAAGCACGTGAAAGACAAAGTTGAAAAGAGAATGTGGGAACTGGACAATATTTTAGAGGAACAAGTCGAGCCATTCATTATTGACGTTGGTGCTTCAGGCAGTAGCGATGATGAAAGCTCATCAAGCTCATCTTTCCAATAAAACATGTCGTTCATCAAATTCGGTAAGTTATAAGTAATTATAAAGCTACTGTATTTTTTAATTAATTATTGACATTTTTGAACCCATTTTGGCAAAACCTATTCAAGAATCTACTTTCTGACAATGTTCAACCATGCACATTTTTTTACGTTTTGAACGTTTTAATTTGGTTACATATTTACCTAGAAATCAAAAAATATACTAATCAATATTCTAAAAGCAATTTTAAGAGATATACGATTATTTTTAATTTAGGCTAATTTAAACGCCATTTTGAGATTATATTCGACTGTATTTCACCAAACATCAGGCGGCATCCGAAGCTGGAAATCGAAGCGAAAATTTTGAAACCCTTATGTATATTTACATCATTATATATTTTTTACCCCACCCCCACATGATCCTATATCCATCACCAATCGTATACACATCGAATTGTGCTAATTTACTACAAAGTTACGCAAAGCAGCATCTATTATCTAAAATATGTACTGCGTGACTCTTAATACGTCACTGCCGAATGTTACAGCGTTCGATGATCACGTGGTCTTGTTTATGTCCGGTCTATCTCTTATCTGAATATACTGTAGACCCCCAGTAATGCCATCTCAGAAGCAGATTTTACATCACATCAGAACCAAAGATTGATAACAAGCCTCATGACGTTTAGGCAACACGTATAACTAAGTGCTAAGTCAACGTCTTGGCGAAAAACCTACATAATGTCAAAAAAACCCAGCATAATGTGATCAAAAATCGGCGTAATGTCACTTTTCAAGATACGTGATACCCGTTTCAATGAGAAAGGCTTAACTTAGAGCTAGAGCTATATGAGGTTTTTGAACATGAACATTATTTTCAGCGGAACTGTCGTTGCAGCCAACGTCAGCGTGCAAACAACCGCTGCTGGTCAACAGTCCGAAAAATTTGGATTTCAACGGGAAAGTAAGCACGCATTTCTTCGTCAGAGTGCACAAGGCGTGTAAATGCCATGTCACCGTGAGGGTGACGTACACGTTAGATAGCCAGAAGGCTGTGCTCAGCATAAAGACTGGAGTTATTCCGTTGACCGTAGTAGAGCCGTTCGAGGTGTCGACCAAGTATCTCTCGATGCTTATGAGTGAAATTGACAGGTTTTATGTTGACGAGGAGTTTGGAGTTATGAATTATATAAGATTTTGTTCGCCGTGGACGATATGCGTCGAAGATACTTTATTAGAGTTTGTGAGTATGCGATGCCTTCCTTTATTTTTTGCGCAGAACAGTCACTACAATTTAATTGCGAGTGATAAAAGAATGCGTTGCAGGTTCCTCCAGGAAAATCCGCGGAAAACTCAATCGCTAGTCAAATAGCAGGCAGATCTTTCAATGGTGAAGAAATAAGTGCTGAACTGCACATAGCAACGTGCCAGAAAAGTACAGATCAAGGCTCAAATCTTGGAAAATACTCCATCAAATGGAAAAGGTATCAAATATCTGATATATTTGTTTGCTATTAATGCTACAGTGTTAATTTTTGTATATTTATTCGTTTACACATTTTGTTTTTGAATCCATTTTTTGTAATTTTACGTTCATGTCTATTAAGATTACATCACTATGCGTTTTGAGTATTCATAAAGTGATTTTTTCAATTTCACCTTAAACATTTTTAAATTCGAACACTGTTTAATAACATTATTCAATTTATTAAATTCAAATAATATACTGCCTCTCGTTTCGTAGTTATGATAATGACTATTTATTTTTCTGAAGTGTTCGAAATGTGGTGGTAATGAATGATTTTTTAATTTGAATACGCAAATGAAAACTACATAACATATGAAATTACATTACATAGACTCAATCCTAGCATATTTGTTATCATTTAAAATGATTCTCATAGCTTTATTTTGTAGAATTTGTAATTGAAATGAGGATTTTTTTTTGGAATACATACTAAGATTATGGAAAACTCTATAGAAATAATTTATCTTTTCTCTGCTTTGACCCATCTTCCACGAATGTTCAATTCTTTCACATATTTTCCATCATTAATATTTTTCCACCTTCACTATTTATACAGGTATAGAACAATAATTACACTGATCAACAGCCAAAAAATATCCTAAATAAAATCAACAAAATATTACTATTTTTAATGTGCTAAAACCGGAATGAAACTTATTTTTTCAATATTAGTTCAAGTTTTAGAGATACGGTAATTATATGTGTTCCTGCTGTGACAGTGTTAATATACTGTAATTCACAAGAATGCACGTGCTACATTTTTATATTCGGCAAGGAAAGATGATGTAATCGGCATGATTGTGTTACGTTATACATACGTGTACATTATATTGTTTTATATTAGCCATTTTTTCCTCAGTTGGCTGACAGCGTTCATGCAAGATGTCTCGAAAGTGTGTAAACAATCCAGATCAGTTTTGTTACGTGTGTGGTGATGTGACATTTGCGTCTCAGAGACGGTCTATTACTCCTCTAATAACAAAGGCATATCAGCTTTATTTCGGTTGCAAACTAGGTGATCAAGACAAACAGTGGGCACCCCACATCTGCTGTAATACATGTGCTTCAAGTCTGAGGAGCTGGTTAAATGGCAAAAAACGGTCTATGCGCTTTGCTGTCCCAATGGTTTGGAGAGAGCCTACAAATCATATTAATGATTGTTACTTTTGCATGCTACCTTGTGTTGGACAAGCCACAGGTATGTCCAAGAAAAAAAAATCGGTTATTAACTACCCAAACATACCATCTGCGATGAGACCTGTGCCTCACAGTGACGAAAATCCTATTCCAAAACCTCCAGAATCCTACACTTGCGAATCAGATCATTGCGATCGAGTGATTCGTCAGGAAGAAGATATGCCATCAACGTCAAGAGATCCTGATTTTATACCGAGCACGTCATGCCACCAACCGCAGAAAATAACACAGTCAGAATTAAATGATCTTGTAAGACATTTAGAACTTCCAAAATGTAAGGTAGAGTTACTTGGATCAAGACTGCAGCAGTGGAACTTGTTAGAAGACGATGTCTCGGTATGTGTTTTTCGTAAACGCCACAAAGGCTTAGAACCATTTTTCAATATGGAGAATAACTTGGTTTTCTGCAGTAACATTAACGGCTTACTGGCGGCTTTAAATATAAACTATAACCCAGAAGAATGGAGATTGTTTATAGACAGTTCAACATTGAGTTTAAAGGCAGTGTTATTGCATATTGGAAATATTTTACCCTCTCTTCCTGTAGGGTATGCAGTTCACATGAAAGAATCATATGACAATATGAAGTACCTATTGACATGCATAAAATACGATGAGCACCAATGGCATATTTGTGGCGATTTGAAAGTTGTTGCACTTTTACTTGGGCTGCAGCTAGGCTACACAAAGTTTTGCTGTTTTTTGTGTGAATGGGACAGTCGGGAAAAAGCACTTCATTACACCAGACAAAACTGGCCTGTTCGTCAATTCCTAGAGCCAGGTCAAAAAAATGTACATCAAGTTGGGCCTAATGAAAAACTTTGTCAAGGCATTAGATAGAGATTGGTCAGCTTTTCAATACCTGCGTCAGAAATTTCCAAGACTAAGTGAGGCAAAGGTTAAAGAAGGTATTTTTGATGGGCCACAGATTCGAAATATTTTGAAAGATACACAGTTTGAAAACACTTTAACAGGTATTGAAAAAACTGCTTGGAATGATTTCCGTCTGGTGGTCACTAATTTCTTGGGAAATAGAAAAGCTGACAACTATAAAACCCTTGTCAAAAATATGCTGTCATCGTATCAAAAGATGGGCTGTAATATGTCTCTTAAGATACATTTCCTACACTCACACCTGGACTTTTTTCCTGACAATTGCGGAGCCGTAAGTGATGAGCACGGCGAACGTTTTCATCAGGATATTTCAACAATGGAAAAAAGGTACCAGGGAAAGTGGAATCCTTCCATGCTTGCAGAATACTGTTGGACTCTTGGTAGAGATGCTCCAGAAACGATCCATAAAAGAACAGCAAAAAGACAGCGCATATAGTGATTCTTATAAGTATATGAATCTTGTTACTTTTTTTAATATATCCTTAAAAATAAAAAGTTTTTTTTTCTAAACCGCAACTAATTTTTTTATTTCATTGTCATTTTTGGATTCAGCGCCCCAAAATTAACAAAGAAGTGCACTTTTCCCACAAGATACAATTAAAAAACTAAAATTTGTTGTCCAGTGTTATATAGGTTTCGGTTATCTGACTGTGGTTTTTGCGAGTCTCTCATCTTTTTATCGGTTTGTCATAAACGTCTAAAAAGACCTTTTTAAGCTATGACAAACGTTCGTTTTACAGAGAAAATGGCATAAGTACAACAACAGAAATAGCTATTCAAGGTTTACCATGCTATTTCATGCCAATCGGTTTGAAATTGTCTGCTCCTGCTCACGGCTTTGTCAGAACGCCTATGCTGTTACGATACCACGTGCAAAACAGATCACAACATTTGATACAACTTGATGTCGTCATGCAGGCGACCGAAGCCTTTATGTTTTCTGGATACAAGCAGGTACGAATTTACTCAGATCCTAATAAAAAATAAATCAAACTTTTGGCCAGTCGAAATTAGGTCTTTATATACAGGGTGTTTCAGTTTATTGTTGCATAACTTTAAGATTCGATAGAACTTTTAAAATTAATGCATAAAGTCTATATAAACATGGGTCGAAAAATGCGTAGTTTCCGAAATACAGGGTGTTTAAATTTACTTTCTAAAATAGTTTTTTTTAAATATTTCGAACAATATTTGATGTATAACAGTGAAAATTGATATACAAGGGTTTTTTGGTACGACAAAACGAACCATGGGCATAGTTTTACTGTAGCCGCTAGAGGGCGCTTTCTACTGTACCTGTAGTGTATTAAAATAAACCGAAAATTTTTTCTTAGTGCAATTGTTTGCTTTTTGAATAAAAAAACTGATTCTTCGCACTTTTCAACATAAAAAAGCGCTCTTGTGAATTTTCGTTATAGTTAGCCGTTTTTGAGATATTTCGATTTTTAAGGTTCGATGCATTTTTAATTATTTATGCGAAAATAATATTTTTGATGATCGTTTAGATTGTGTTTTTAAACACAGCAATAATTCCTAACTCCAAATAAACACAAAAAACAGAATATTAATTTGTTTAATATTTCCAATATCATTTTTAACAAATTAAATTAATTATTTACAACTGAAATGCTATTGGATAGTTAGGACAAACATACAAAATCTAAAGTAGTTGCTCGGAATGTAAACCCAATTGTTCAATACACAATTCACATCTACGAATGATCGAACGTGGTATAGCATGATTCAAATAAGGCCTTATTTCATCACATGCATTCCTGATTCTGTCTATTATGTTAGCATATCTCTTGTGGTTACGGGAGTCTGGTACAATTTTTCTTTTAGAAATCCCCACACAAAGAAATCTAATGGATTTAGGTTAGGGGATCGTGGAGGCCAGGCGACTGGTCCTCCACGGCCGATCCATCTTTCTGGATAATTTTCGTCCAGCCAGTTTCTAACTATTCTCGAATAATGAGCTGGACAACCATCAAGCTGGAAACAGGCCAATCTTCTTAAATCTAACATAACATCATCCCACGTATTTGCATGTTCAGCCTTTAAAAATTCCAAGAAGGTCACAGCATTTAATCTTGCAGGCAAAAGGTAGGGTCCAAATAGTCGATTACGGTAGATACCAATCCACACGTTCACACTAAATTCATGCTGAAAATTTCTTTCCCGAACTGCATGCGGATTTTCATGCGACCAAATATGTTGATTATGAAAATTTACCACTCCACGTCTAGTGAAGCATGACTCATCGGTCCATAAAACGTTACTTAAAAACTCCCTATTATTATCAGTTCTATCAAGAATCCACTGACAAAATGTGATTCTTCGTTCTCCGTCCCCTGGCTGTAGTCCTTGCACAGGTTGCAAATGGTAAGGACGTCAATGGTCATTTCTAAGAACACAGTGAACATGGCTTGCTGAAATTCCCAAGGCACCAGAAACTCTCCTAACACTTGTGGTCGGATCTCTATCAAACTCACGCAGAATCATACGGGTAAATCTGCGCTGACGAACATTTATGTTTTGATCCCTTTGGAGATTTCCTAAACCATTTTCAATTATTTGGCGATGCACTCTTACAAATACTGAGCGAGTTGGATGTCGTCTGTTTGGAAATCTTCGTGCGTATTCTCTGGCTGCTTCTGCTGCGTTTCCATTTACAAAGCCATACACAAAATGAATATCCGCTAACTCCTGAATGGAGAATAAAAATGGCATTTTTATAAAACTTACAAAAAAAAAACAGGTAAAAGAAACTAAATTTCGTGCACTCACAATTGCAAAAAACGTTTCAGGTTTCAACAGACAACAAAACTAACTGTCAACTAATTGACGTTTAACGTTATTCTGCTTTCAATTTCAAAAATTATCGAGATACTGACTTTTTAACGTCATTTTATCATAAATAATTAAAAATGCACAGAACCTTAAAAATCGAAATATCTCAAAAACGGCTAACTATAACGAAAACTCACAGGAGAGCTTTTTTATGTTGAAAAGTGCGAAGAATCAGTTTTTTTATTCAAAAAGCAAAAATTGCATTAAGAAAAAAGTTTCGGTCATTTTTATACACTACAGGTACAGTAGAGAGCGCCCTCTAGCGGCTACAGTAAAACTATGCCCATGGTTCGTTTTGTCGTACTAAAAAACCCTTGCATACCAATTTTCACTGTTATACATCAAATGTTGTTCGAAATATTTAAAAAAAACTATTTTAGAAAGTAAATTTAAACACCCTGTATTTCGGAAGCCACGCATTTTTCGACCCATGTTTATATAGACTTTATGCATTAATTTTAAAAGTTCTATCGAATCTTAAAGTTATGCAACAATAAACTGAAACACCCTGTATATCTTTGATCCCTCATTTTTTCATTAGTTTATTGCATGTTTTATTTATAATAGAAACATATAGTTTTTAATAGGAAACCGTAGGTAAGAAAATCAATCACCTATACATGAGAAAAAATTTATTGGATATACGAGGTTTGTATCAAAAATAAGGTTCCCACATTTTTTAGGCACAAGGAATGTTTTATTTGAAAAACCAGTCACCATTGAAAACGTTGATCTTTAAGCTATTTTTATTCATAGTCGCCATTTTTTCTACGCATTATTTCCCAACTAACAATTATCACTCCTATTAGAGTTGCAAGAATGATTATACAGTATTCCGTAAGAACATTGTCAAAACCCTCTTAGAACAGCTATACAAGCGGAATGGGCACACCTAATAGGACACTTCAGTCATTTAAGAGGTTGTATAAGGGCTGCAGGTAACAGTTATACAACAAAAGTGTAAGCCTCTTGCAGCCGCTATAGGACATTTGCGTCAGTGCAAGATTCAGTTTTTGTCAACTATACAACTATTCTGTTACGTGATTCTACTTTATTGCAACCAAACTATTTCTTATGTATTGTATAGACGATAGACAATAGAGAGCTTTTATGGCTGAACGGTTCTTTTACCAAAAGCTTAAAGCACTACTTTGCTATTTGGCTTTAGACGTGAAATCCACCTTTGTACTCCAGCCTCAAGGAACCGCCTAGGTGCGCCTTCAATTTCCAAACGCTATGTCAGCGTTGTAAGGGCAATGACTTCCCAGCCAAATCGCTCGATTCAGTCCTTCGTTTGTTGCGAGACAAGAAAAATGGTATATTTTCGTTAAAACGCCCTAAGAAAGAAGAAAGTACTCGACGAGTACTATAAATTACCTAGAGAGCTTTTTTCCGTTTAGGACGCCCGTTTCGAATAAAAAAAATCCTTCATACAAACTTCAGCAGATATGAGTCATGCATGCAGAGTTATTAAAAGAATGTGCGTTAACAGGTGCATAATACTAACGAATACGTATTGTTAGTTTGTAGTGTCGATTCTGCCAAATTCGACGAGGACATTACAGTACAACTTATATCCACTAATAGCTGGCAGTGTTGCATTGCCAGAATTAATAATGAGTTGTAACGCAGATAACGATTCCCTGGGCATAAACAAGGATCAATTGAATGCGCTTATTCATCGGTCTCTACCTACACATATTTATGTAATGGTAAGTTATAAATGTGTACCTTTTAGGATTATGTAGTGAGGAGAATCTGGGGCTCAACTTAAATAATAAAAAACTCTACAAGTCTATAAATTATAGTTTGAAAAAACTAAAAAACACTTAATAGCAAATCGAACTAAAAAGTATAAAATAATTTTCAGGTAGAGTTTGTGTTATCGCAATGGAAAGTCCAACAATCACTAATAAAAAATTCATTTATGCTAAAAACGAGTGGGGTGCTTCAATTGATTTCTTTTAGATAATAAAAAAAAACAGAGATTTTTTGACATGGTTATTGCTGGCATTGGCAGTATAGAGCTTTTAGAACATTATTAATTTTGACGCCCATTATAAAGATTCTCATTTCGTTCTTAACATTCCTTACAGCCACAAGTAAAAGGGGATCCGAAATTACCGGACATCGTAGCTAACCAGAAGATAGCAGTTACTAGTTAGAAATACTCGGCAATAACATAATGGGAGAATATTCATTTAAGGGAAAATGTGCACTTGAAATGTCGACTTTTTGGAAAATTGTCGTTGGAATCGGGATAAACACACTACACATATTTCAGCAAAAATAGATTAATGTAATCGGTTTGTGCTTCTAAATGCAAGACGCCAAAATATTTAATCCGATCAATATGTATTCGGAATGCTCTGTTAGAAATGATTTGAGCGTTTTTCCGTACATTCAATGAGACGGAAAGCGATCGCATATTTTCAGTAACGATTTCAATATATCTTGAAAATTCTCTGAACCGTAGACACATTTCATGTGATAAAGCAGCAGTTGTTCAATATACGTGTTATTTATGTTGAATATATTTTATATAATAAAAAGTTTATACATTTAGGAACTTTTATTTCTACAAAAATAGCGCCAAATAGAGTGACTCCCCACACAATGTCGTAATCAGTTCATAAAGGATTATGTTCAGCACAAGTTAGACCCTATCGAAACAAGTAGAGTCCGAGAAACCGAGCCTAGAGCATGCTGATGAGTTGCCAAAAAAGCACGAAAGAGCTGTATGTTGTTGACTGACTTTGGTTGGACAAACGAACGCAGCATGTTAGACCATCTGAGAAAAAGTTAGTTATCTTAACATCCAGCAAGTATGATGCTATCTGTCGTTTTTTAATGTACCAGATACGTCACCCTCGTCCATCGTCCCGAAAACACCAAAAGCCTTCCAAACCAAACGTGAAAACCCACCCAGAACGGTTGTCGTTTTCCATGTGCAACGCGAGAAATACTACTTCAACATCTAAAGGTAACCATGTTGTTTGTCCTGTAAAAAATACTAGAGGGTGTCTGATAAATTTGTGAACGGTATGAAAAAATTAACCACCGAGATTATTAGGAGTTTTTCCCAGCTATTCAATGGTGACCTTGTATGGGACCTAGACCATTACTACCTTCAAGGTCATTTGAAGGTCAAATCGATTTTTTTGAATTCTTGACCGCTAAAATGAAAAGAGTGGAACATTTTACGTTCAAATATCGTATTGACCATTCTTAAATTTTGATCTTAAGAGGTCAACGTCAAACTTAGTCACGGTGATATATCTTGAAAATCAATAGTCGTATACGGAAACTACCGAAACATTACTTTCATATTTTTCCGGGTATTTAATGATGACCTTGGATCCGACCTTAACCATGATGACCTTTATGGTCAAGTCAATTTTTGAAGCCAGTGAACAATCCTAAATGAACAGTTTTCCGAATTATCAAGAAATTGAGGTAAACTTGTGTTTGACCTTGATGGCCAAATCCTACAAAAAAATGATATACACAAATCAATTGATAGCGTATAAATTTTATTCTGTCCTGTTACATAACAAGATCAGTCGCCAAATTCAGTCTCTACAAGAATAGCTGGCAAAATATCGGCAGAGCCGTTAAATGTTTAGTTGAAAACTACTTCTCACAAAAATAAACATTTTTAAAAATAATCCGCAATCAACGTCCGTCTTTTATTGTTTGTTTTGAGACAATAAAACCAGTGTTTCATTGCTTGACTGAATTCAATGACATCAGGCAGTAGTTGTTGATGTTAGATTTAAACCACCATCAAGGATTTTGAAAAATTCCCAGTTTATGTACCATTACGATAGGAATTAAATTTTAGACTCGTTTGTTTTTAGAAGCCATCACTCCCGCATTAAAAAAAAATAGATGCTGAGTTCATGAAATATCAGTATATTCAAAAACAGAAATACTAGTTTTTTTCGCGTTGTTATTCAATTTGCGTTATATTTGTTAAGTGTAAAATATCCTTGACGACTAGTTTATTTGCAGGCTAGCCAAGCGTACGGTCACTGCAGTTTCATGACTGCCATGTCATTTATTCAAAATAAAATCGTCGATTTCCTTTGACAAAAGGATTACTATTATTATTACATCTATGCTTCCTTTAGATGTTTGAGAAAACGTCCTCTTAAAACGGCAACTATCCTACTAGTCCGCTTGGCACAAAAAGTAAGGAGCCATTAATCAAGCATATTTCTCCTGCAAATTTATCCTAAAACAATAAACTTCCCGCGATCCGCGGCAATTTTTCATTTCTCTCTTGAACGCTGCGACAAAATGTGAGTTTTAAAAATACCGTAAGGATCGGAATGACGTCTAAATCTATTTAAATACAATCGTGCGTATTTTACGTGAGTGTAGTGATCCGAAGTCCTTGCGTGCACGCTTTTCAAAATCGGTGGACTAAACGGAAAAATATGTAATCGTGACTAAAATTCCATAAGCGATTACAGCTGGAAAAAAATATTAAAATATAAATAAGTGTTTTTACTAATTGATTATCCAGAAATATACCATTAGGAACTGTAAGAGACAGTAGCTTAAATTGAGTCAAAGTTGCGTATTTAGATAGATGGAAAAATGCGGCTTAGAAACTTTCAAAATTCAAAGTACTCTCGGCGAGAGACAGGATTTGAACAAAATCGTTTTAATTTTTTTCCTGACTTTATTTGTAATGGGATTTCAAAATGAATTGCACATTAATATTGCCACTTTTTCTCCTATACAAGACGGCATAATTACAACTCCAATATATTGGAGTTTTTAATTCTGATTCCACAAATTTATAATATTTACCTACCTCAACCATGAAATTATCAGAAGCTATAGTTGTAGACGCCGTTCTTGGCAGGTCAAAGTAAAAAACTAAAAATATCCCTTTATATACAGGGTGTCCCAGAAGTCGACATCAAGCCGAAACCGGGTGATGGGCAAAGTCATAACAGCTATCAGAAAAATATTTAAAAAAATTTTATGTATGTGTTTTGAAAATTATAGGTCTTTGAAAAAGATATAGAAATTTCACACCCTACGGCAGTCTGTCAACTCCTGTTACTACAAATATTAACTTTTTTTTGATTTTATTTTTACAATGTAATGATGAATAATGCATCTTCAAACTGGTGTCTCAACCTTACAGCCAACTTTTCTCGTTCAGGAAAAATTGCCACTTATTTCCCAACCAAGTATTCCAAAGTAAAACTTTGCTCAACTTTAACTGGAAAAAAATGTACTACGAGAGTTTGGCAAGTAACCTTAAAAGTTGGCGCATTTAATAAGGATTCCAAAATGGTATAACACTTAGAAGATTACTCGTTAACTTATGCACAATTTTTATTTGAAGAAAAACTGATGAAAATTTTTCAAAATTTCCTAATTTAACAGCGATTATGAAACGCACAAGGACCCTTAAGCATAACTGTTTGCATAACACTGGGCGTCAAAATTCTGCTGATGATGATTTACCTTTACCGCAAATGCTCAAACTGTTTTCCTTCAGCCGCAATACACGCTCGACATCTACTTAAAACAGATCGGGTTATTAAACGAGCGAATCCACGGTTATTAACAAACTCAGCTGCTTCCAATAGTCTTTGCCGTAGCTCAGCTACATTTTGAATCGGCTTGAAATACACTTTTTCTTTTACAGTTCCCCAGTAAAAAAATCTAACGGATTCAAATCTGGTGACCGGGCTGGCCACGGTATTGTACCAGACCGCCCTATCCATCTGCCTGGAAAGTTTTGATCGAGATACTCTCTCACTGAGAGTGCATAGTGCGCTGGGCAGCCATCATGCTGAAACCACATGTCCCTGTAAATACTCAGCGGCATATCTTTTTCAAAGACCTATAATTTTCAAAACACATACATAAATTTTTTTTAAATATTTTTCTGATAGCTGTTATGACTTTGCCTATCACCCGGTTTCGGCTTGACGTCGACTTCTGGGACACCCTGTATATCCATTTCGCTCATACATACACATGCAACCTACCCCTGTGTACGAACGTTCGGTAAGCTCAAAGACGTTTTTTAGTTGTTTCGAAAACTTTGTCGTCGTTACGTATGAGTGCCCTCCAATCATATTTGTCATAGTGACAACTTGCTTGACATCAGCGCATCCTGTTATCAATCTTCAATATAAAATTGTACAATGGCCGGAAATATGATCAATGGAGAAGGCCGACAGGCCGGGCTAAATTTATCAGAGTATTTCCAGGAAGAGAAGGTCCCCTGTTACCTACTTCATGCGTACTGGAGCGAGTAGCAGATGCGCTGAAGGTTAAGATCCGCCCATGGTACGGAGACTCGCTTTGTTGTTACATATAGTCAAAATCACGAAAGATGACTATTACGTCAAACCCTAAATTGTACTCAGTGGACGTACGTCGATGATAAAATCACGCTGTCAGGAACACAATGACAGCAAATTTATATTATGATTTTGTGAGGTTATTTAACCCGCCGGTAGTCGCGCCCTGGTTTTGGACTGTGTTGGTCGCGCTGGGTCTATCAGACCCAGACAAACTTTCAATTTTCTTTGGTACTTAAAAGCCGTTTGCCTAGAATAACGCATGAACCAGTATATTGTTTGACATATGTCAACTCATACTTTCAAAAATGGAACATCGACGAAATAAAATGCGTTTATTGATACCTCTTAATATATTTACATCAAAATTTCAAATAAAAGCAATCAAGAAAAGAAAACATTGAGATAAAACAAGGCAAAGATAATGATCGATAAGAAACATTGACTTAATGAATAATGACAAATTAATTGCTGTCATTTTTAGAACCTATTTTCTCCCCATAAGAGAATTTTATTTCACGGTTATGAGTGATACCTTAATAATAATTTTAGTGGGGAGTTTTTGTTTTGAAAAAAAAAAACAGTTATCAGTAGATCCTTAAGACAGGAACACCAAAGATCAAAGTATTATTCGAAAACAACCTAACCTGCTTTAACATAACCTAACTATTCATCTTTCAAATATGATCGATCATGCAACATGAAAACATCGTCTATCTTTGTCTGTTTAGACAATAAAATTATGTCTGTCTCTGTCTAACATATCTGGAACTTCATTAAAAATATTCACAAATCGCTGTCGTTCGTTTTTACTACAGACTAAAATGATGACGTAATCGTCATCTTTAGTGATTTCGACTAGATGGCGTTGATGACGTGATGACACAACTATACTTCTATGTACAGGGTGACCAACTAGGAATGCGACGAACTGTATCTAGGAACCCATCAGTACCTCGCATTTCTAGTCGGCACTGAATATTGGGACGCCCGTAAAACGCTCTTGAGGTATGCGGTTTTGACCGTCACCTCTACTTTGTACGGAATTCCAGTTATTTCAGCAGAACAGTTGTCAAGTGACATTTTTTGCTATCTAAAATAGAACTTTACAATGAAAACAAACTGAAAACCTACATTCGCCATTATGTCACCGTAACGCGCTTACTAATAGAGATACGCTATTTACTGTTTATTTTTGCACTAGACGTTCAGCGGTTGCCGAAAGACGTTG